CTGTGCTGAAGACCTCGTTTATGCAGAGGTGCGGTGTGCTCTGCCACGCGGCCATGTCTGGCCAGCCTATCCATTTGACGAACCTAATGGGTTTTGATCGGATTAACTGCGGGCCGAGCTGGCTATTCCTGAAGCGCCCGGCTGCAGCTAGTTCGCATTATCTGCAGTGCAGCTTATCACCACAGCAGACACCCCACGTGCCGGGCTTGGCCGTGCTTGAGACGCTCGCTGTATGGACTGAGTACCGGACCGGCGCGTCTGTCTCCCGGGCGCGGGATACCGCCCGGGAGACAGATGCGCTGGCCGGCGGCGGGGCGGGCGCCGGCCGTGGCCGGGCGCCGGCCCGTCTGCCATGACCTTGGCGTGACTCAGGGCTGAGAGGGCGGCGCGCCGGCCGGCCTGCACGCTTCCGGTCCGGCGGCCGCCGAGCCCGGCGAACCTGTGACGTCACTGTCGCGGTGGCGCCGCACGCCCACCGGGGGCGGCAGTGACGGAGCGCAGCACGCACCTGCGCCGACTCTGCCCTGCCTGGCGCTGCCCGGCTCCCAGCCTTTAGAAACGATACCGGCGCCGGTGCCAGCTGGCGAGGCGTCAGACAGGGGAGGGGAAATACGAGTCTGCGGGCTCGACGGGGAGCGACAATTGGCCAATATTGGGTAAAATGTAACAATTGTGTCAGTTCGACGTTCGCGAAGCCAGCTATCACGTATTAAGCTTACCGAGCGACAGTTGAAAAAAAATCTCTGTTTTGTTGGGGTGTTGGCTACTTTAATATCTTGTGATTTTGCTTTTTCCAGGCTGTATTCTCATGAAGAAGATCAAGTTTCAGACCAAGCTGGAGCACGAATACATCCACAATTTTAAGCTTCTACAAGCATCATTCAAGAAAATGGGTGTAGATAAGGTAATGTTATGTGCCATTGTAATTTGTGTCGTTTTGAGTGTCATAATGTTGATGAGCGTTGTATTGTACACGTCATAATATTCTTCGCCGCATCCCAAGCGACTCAGTGTCGCAATACGCGGACATGTGGCGGAATGTTTGGCCCCCGAGTAACCCCCGTATCGAAGTCATCCCTTACGTTTATTACTTTTTCTTCTTCCATGCAGAGCACGTTCCATGCTGGTGTGCTCATGTCCGTATTTAAGCCACGGCTGGCATGCTTCTGTGTGTTTTATGCGTGTGTTTCTGTTCCTTGTTCCGTATTAGTACTTCTTCATTTTCCAGTCTGTAAACCTCCGCGTTGTACGTCCAGATTAGTGCGAAGCACACTAAATGTGTTTCCTATCCTGAGGGCCCGCCACATGATACCACCAGGTGTCTGGAGGCTCGCCCGGTCTCCCTAGAGCCATCTGGACGCTGTATCTGGCGGGCCCCAGACATATGGATGATGCACCCCTTCCCCTCTCCCGCTCTCCTCCGGTGCGCCCGGACGCGGTACACGCGACCTCTGAGCCGCCTGGAGGCTCACCGGCTGCCTGTTTCAGATTATCCCCGTCGACAAGCTGGTCAAGGGCAAGTTCCAGGACAACTTCGAGTTCCTGCAGTGGTTCAAGCGGTTCTTCGACGCCAACTACGACGGCTCGCCGTACGACGCGCTGGAGATGCGCGGCGGCGGGCCGTTGGGCGGCGCCGCGGCCGGCAGGCTCGGGCCCGCCAAGCGCATCCAAATGGCGCGCCCGGCGCCGCGGGCCGCGCCCCGGCCAGGTACGGGGCGCCGCGCGGCCGACTGAGACGCGCCGGCCGGTCGCGCACTGCGGGCGGGCGGGGGGGGGGGGGGGTACGTTAAGCGCAGCCCTCCTCCCGTGTCGGGGGAGAGGGGGGGGGGGTGAGTCACCCTAACCTTGACTTGAGGTAGCGCCGCCAGTGGTTGTGACTGAAAGGTTGTTGTTATCGATTCCTGGTCGGAATCCTGCTCCGTTTTGTGCGGTGAAAGACTGCTGTGAGAAACTCAAGAGTCTCCTGTGGTGTGCTGGCTGCGTCATGCATATATGTCTGTCGGTTTATCAGACACTCAATTCTGTGCAAATGTCACTTCTTCTTGTACAGCCACCTGGTGGCGTACCTCAAGTAGGGCCGTCGACACAGCGTTGGGTATTGACAGTGACTGTTGGACAGTGGGTTTGTCGTCCATCATGTGTTGGTCCCGCGCCTTAGTCCGACCGACCCCCCACTGCCCGCTCAGCCACCGTGTGTTGGTCCCGTGCCTTAGTCCGACCTACCCTCCGCTGCCCGCTCAGCCGGGTTCTATCGTGTGTTGGTCCCGCGCCTTAGTCTCCAACCGAACCCCACTGCCCGCTCAGCCAGGCCCGTGTGTTGGTCCCGCGCCTTAGTCCGAAACCCTCCGCTGCCCGCTCAGCCATCGTGTGTTGGTCCCGCGCCTCAGTCTCCAACCGAACCCCACTGCCCGCTCAGCCATCGTGTGTTGGTCCCGCGCCTTAGTCCGACCGACCCTCCGCTGCCCGCTCAGCCATCGTGTGTTGGTGCCGTGTCTTAGTATCCAACCGACCCCACGGCCTGCTCAGCCATCGTGTGTTGGTGCCGTGTCTTAGTCTCCAACCGACCCCACTGCCTTCTCAGCCGGGCCCCTGTGTTGGTGCCGTGCCTAAGTCTCCGACTGACCCTCTACTGCCCGCTCAGCCACCATGTCTTGGTCCCGTGTCTTAGTCTCCAACCGACCCCACTGCCTTCTCAGCCGGGCCCCTGTGTTGGTGCCGTGCCTCAGTCTCCGACGGACCCCCACTGTCCGCTCAGCCTGGTCCTGGCATCTCCTGCCTGCTTCCTCTCGCCTGCCCGCACCGTCCACCCTTTGGCCCGTCTCACCTCGTTAGATCCGTAATCCGGCAATGTGTCTTCCGTTTTAGGCTCAGCTTGTCTGTGGGACTCCGGTATAGTTTCCTGTCTTGTATCCCAGCATGGGCGTGTTCCACGGATCCTCGGTCTTCGTCCTCTGAAAACCATGGCCTACCTTTATGTCTCGGGCCTGTGGCCCAGTTCTCTGCCCGGATCGTGGCCTGATTTCCTCTCTTGGGTCCCCCGCCAAATTATCAACCTCGGTTCTCCCCACGAAGCTGTTAGCTTCGGTTCTCCCCTGTCATGTTTCTCTCCCTGTCTAGGTTCTCTGTCACAGCCCCCCGCCCGTGCTCTCGTACCGTTCAAGTCTTCGTTCGGCACCTTTAATAACGTTGAAGTTTTTCCTCGGTGGCCACGTTCTCGTATGATCATGCTGTTTGCTTGCTGCAGCTGCGAATCGTGCGGCGCCGGCGGCGAGGCCAGCGCCCCGGGCGGCCGCCGCCGGAAGACCAGCTGCCGTCGACAACCGACAGGCGGAGGTAGTGTTGCAATGCAGAACCTGGACTGCAGCGTTTGGCAGACATATTGATCACTCCCAGCTTATCGCACTTTCTGGCATCCAGGTCGCTAATCAATAGCCAACGATAAAAACGTACGAAGTGAGGCTTGCATGTCGGAAATTTAGTGAGACCGTGTAATTTAATTGAGTTTACCATTTTTATCACATAGTTCACAGATTTATCACCTATAATGCAGTGGAATCATATAATTTGTCGAAGTTCTCCACTTTCATCCTGGGTTTCACGTAATTTCACTGGGTTTTTCAGATTTTGCATCGTATGCAAAATCTGAAAACCGTTAACCGCCCGGTTTTAATTTCTGCGTATCTGTCTGTGATTCTGTGCGGTACCATGCGTTCACGTTGGTCCGTTGCTGTTGCGGGTGATGGGTCGGCATGTCCGGTTAAGTACGCATCCAGCTGCCGGGCTTGGCTGTGAACCTGAGTTCCGTCTCTTCGCATAGGATAATGCTCGTTGGTTTAAGAGTACAGTTTGTGTACCTTGCCTCAAGTCTCAATTGGAGAATGTCAGGACCGCAGTTGATGTGGGCGATGCACAATCTTTGGCCCATCCGTTCTGAACTTAAGCGCTGCATTGACCTGAGATGACCTGACCTTAGGTGGACGACTTGACACTGCAAATGCAGGACATGCGACTGAACGTCGAGGGCCTGGAGAAGGAGCGCGACTTCTACTTCGGCAAGTTGCGCGACATTGAGGTCATCTGTCAGGAGGATGAGGGCGACAACAAGATGATCCAGAGAATCCTGGACATCCTCTACGCCACCGAGGTGAGCGCCCGGCCGGCCGGCTGACTTCCATGGCGCTCAGTGCGGGACGGGGGCCGCGGGGGCCGGGTCTGACCTGCCCGGGTGCTGGCCGCGGCTGCCAGGCGGGCCGCCGGTCGACTCGGCATCGCGCTGCTCGCCTGTGCTCTCTTGCCGGGCCGGCGTAAAAGGGCGAGGGAAGGCGACTGGCTCCGTCCCTGAGGCAACATTTGTGAGCTAGCGTAGCTGGTGTTGCGTCAAACAGAAACCAAATAAGAGTCCGTACGGCCCAGCGGCGCCGGCGCGGCCGCCGGACCTTGTGACTGGTTTACTGCGCACGGCTGACGGCATATTGTGGTCTGATTCCCGCGGTCGGGTATGGTGTGAGCGCGCCCCGCGCAACAGCACCCCTCCGATCGTGCGATCGCCTCTGTGTGCGCGGTCCCGAGGTGCCCAGTTGGGTATATACAATCACTGCCAAATTTGTCATTGCATAATCATCAATCAAAGCTGCCCGAAATTCTAGAGAAGCCAGTATGTGCCAGTGGCTGTTTGGTGACCCTGTCTGGCTGCGGTGGTCCATACCGTGGCTGTGCACGTCCCCGGAGACCCGGAGCCATGCTGCTGACACTCTAAAGCCTCTCGGCCTCGGCCCCGGCCTCGGTCCGGTTTTAGACGGCGGCGCGTGCCGTATGGTGTTAGGCTGTGACCCTGGAGCGGCCGGCGACGCCCTTTCCCGGCCCCGAAAGCGTGCTGTCAGGTGACCCCGCGGTAGCCCGCGGCCCGTGACCCGGTAGCGGCCGGCGAAATCCTCCCCCGGCCCCGACAGCGTGCTGTCAGGTGACCCCGCGGTATCCCACGGCCCGTGACCCGGTAGCGGCCGGCGAAATCCTCCCCCGGCCCCGACAGCGCGCTGTCAGGTGAGCCGTGGAAGCCCGCGGTTCGGGGTGGTGGAGGACGCCGTACACCATGCAGATAAGTTGGCCATATCACGCGACAATGCGACACGGGTTGGAGGTCAGCAGACGGTGTGGTCACTATCGTGTCTGAACGGATCAGGAAGGGTTCGAGCGGCGAGATATCCGCCGGCGCCAGGCGAGAGGCAGGCTGAGTCAGGCTGGTGACGGGCACCCAGACAGCCAGCACTGCGGCCTTTGTCTTTTATCATTTAACTACGTTTGGAAAATTCCAGATGTCTCCCCTTCGATCTTTTTTTTTGCTGGGACCTTGTAAACAAGCCGTCAATAGCAAGCTACGCTTCAACTGTGACCCTTCCTAACCCCAATGACTAGGTAACGTGTCATTGCGGGCCCCCAGTTCCCCTGCCGCAGTTTGCTTGACCACAATGACTGTACCGTGACTATGTTCGATATGGAACCTTGACGCTCCAACCCTAGTCGTTTTATTCTGTGACAGTGGTGCTTCACGGTAGCTCTGTACCGTGACCTTGCTTGATCCTTGTGAATCGATAATCCTGCTTGACCCGAGCGACTGTCCCCTCTGCCCTGTGAGTCCTCCGACCCCGCATCTTGACTCCACCTGATCGGCCTCCTCGTCGCCAGGATGGGTTCGCCGTGCCGGACGAGGAGGACGGTGTGCCGCCGCCGCCCGAAGAGGATGAGTACTAGACGGTCGCGGGTGGCGGCCGGCCGCGCGCGCGCTGGTATTCCATTAGCCTAAGGGCGCGGCGCGGCGCGGCCGGCGGGGCGTGGGGGGGGGGGGGCGTGGCCAGACCCGCCCCGATGGACGGGCGGGCGCGTGCGACGCGTGCCGCCCCTGGTGGTGGGCGGGCGCGACGCTGGCTTATCGTTCGATTGATCTGCCGTTAACCCTCACCGTCGGGCTGTGAGGCGGCGGGGCGCGGGGACGGCCGGCGGCGCCGCGGCGGCCCTCTGGTGACGCCGCGGGGGCGCCGCGGTCTGGTGGGTCCGCGCGCTGGCGTCGCCCGCCGTCCGCCGCCCGCCGTCGCGGGCTCGCCTCTCGACTCTGTTTTGCCAGTGGTGAAAATAAAAACGCCTTGTTTGTCGTGCGTGTGGGCCAGTGCGATGCTCGGCGATCGCGGCGGCCGCGGACGGCGCCGGCCTCGGCAGGGCCGGGCTCGCGGTAAGCGGCCGCTCTGCGCTGCAGGCGCTGGCGTGCGGCCTGGGGAGCGGTGGCACCATGCAACAGGGAGACCCGAGATCCCGCTAAAGCCCTCTACCTGACTCAGCCCGTGGGACGCGTCCCACCACATGCCCACGGCTGGAGCCGCGGAGTCCGTCCAGTGTTTCCCGTCAGTTCAGCGCGATCGTCGTCATACGCTGCTGAATAACCGTGAGGGGATCTCAATTGCTGGCGCTCCTCGATCTAACGAGTTGACGGTGTCTTTGGCTCCCCTGGCCCGCGCTGCGGGTCAGGCGGGCGCTTCATGTTGGCGAGCCTGTTAAGGTGGGGAGGGGTTCGCAAGGTTCGCAAGGCCAGCCGTTGGGCCGTGGGTACGCCGGAGGCTTGGCTCTGGCGAGAGAGCCCCCCTGTTGTCAAGCGGAGCCTGGCAGGGTGGTGGAGGTCGGGGAGTGAGGGGGGGGGGGGGCGGGCTTGCATGACCAACCGTTGGGTCGTGTGTACGCCGGGGTGGGGGTGCGTACGCCGAGTCGCTGTGGCGGGGGAGCCCACTCGCTGCCACGCGGAGGACCCCGTCATCGGAAGCCGCGCTGCCGAACGCCGGGTTTGCGGCCCTGCGCCGGGGCCCGGCCGCCTCCGGTGCCGCCAGCCCCGTCCGCTCCGGTCGGGTGTCTGTCGGGCCGTGTCTGACACCCGAGCCCGTGTCGAGGCCGCGGCGGAATCTGAGTTGGTGCTGGCGCTGGGGTCCGACGCTGCAGCGTGGGCAGTGTCGCGCGGCCGGTATACCGCGGTCACAGAGGCGGTGTGGTGTGGCTGTCGCCCGGGGTACGCTGGGCCGGACTCGAGTCAGCTTGGCAATTAATGAGCTGGCCCGGACAAGTGACGAGGTACCTCGGTGTGGTAGGGTACTCCACTGATTGGATGACTCGATGCGCAAGCCGCGGGCAGGTCGGGGCGGCGGTCGTTTATTGAAACAACAGACAGAACTTCGTATCGTATTGCTTCGCACGTTAACTCTTGTGTTGTACATCAGCATATGGCATTTTGGCTTACGCCAATATTCATAAGCGCAAATCTTGGTAAAAGCATCCTTCATCCGAGCTTCGGAACACAAAACTTCATATTCCCCAGAGATGTCACTTTTGGGCCTGCTGGCGCGTAACGCGGTGGCTTTAAAAGCCCGCAGGGCATTGCTGCCTTGCGGATATTTGCTGTTTTGCGTTGCACTTTTGCGGATATTTCCTGTTTTGTTTTGCTGCTTCGCGGCTATATCGCAAATATTGACAGGTATTCTACAAGTTAAATTCTCCCACATATATTTATCCAGCAGCTTTTGGTAACAGCACCTGATAGGAGAATAGTTGATGTACTTGCGCACAGCTTATCAAATAAGTTTCACTATGAAATTTTACAATCATGCGAGACATGCAATGTCACAAAAAGATAATCTATGACATGTTGTAGATGCGAGAGAGGCTTCCTTAGCTTGATAACTATCAGTCGTACAGCTGAGTACAACGACAATTACATGGCAGTTGCAATACTTTTTGAGAAAGTTTTTTGGGGGGAAATCGCAACACGAGAGCAGCAACCATTCTGAAATAATCCCACACGCGTGGTAGATTCTGACATGGGCGTCGTTTCATACTCAGTTAAGCTCAGTTATCGGATTTCTTTGTTTCCGCGCTGCCTTTTCCGTGCTCACAATTAATTGCAGGTGTTTGTGGGTTTGTAAGAATTATCATATTTCGTGGTTCGTATGCAGAAAATGTTATCACACGGCAAGCAAAGTTTGCGTTTGACAGGTTTGCCCCCGCAGCCGCGCAGACAACGTTGGCCAGCGCAGTTCACAGCCTGTTAGTTTGTTGGACGTAAGACCGGCGGCGTGACCGCAGACATAAATGATGAGTCATTACCGAAAAACACTGTAACCTGCCATGTGGACGTGTGATTGAGCGAGTGAGTCAGATTCCCAACATGTAAAATTTCTCCAGAAATGTCACCATCTCTTGTTTCACATCGCTGCGTATGGCGGTGATGCATCGTGTGGAAAATTTCCGCATGACTATACGACTATGTAGATTTTAGTTCAGTGACAACATGAATATTCCAGCTGTGCATGGACTGCGTCCGTATCTACATCCGGTCTTGCTGACTGCCAGGGACGTCACTTCATGTACTTCATGAACACTTCATGGTTCCGGGGCTTCCCTCTCTCCGATAGTGACTAGTTTCTCTTATTAAACTAGCTAACAGTTAACAAAGACTAGTTGATCTGACTAGACTACTCTTCCTTATTGGTGCACTAAGTACCTAGACACATCACTTTTATTAGTGTGTTCGTTGCTGGACCAAATGGTATCCTGTGCGTACCTTATGTTTCTGTAATGCACCCTCCATATGCAAGATAATTCTGTTGTCCGATTCTGTTGTCTTAACTCCTTCACATGTTGGGTCAGTCTGCAATGGTTTGACAGATTTTGCACGCGATAACACCTGGATTGGGATAAACAACAGTTGAACACGATGTCCTGCAGCTCATGAACGTGCAAGGTGGCCCAGTTACAGTTTGGCCAAAGTTCCTCTTACCAGCGACAAACGTATTCATCGCACACTCGTGACTGGTATGGTATGCAGCTGCAAACTGAATGGTAAAACACGATCAGCGACAGTGGTAGTCACCAGTGGTCCTACATCCGTCAAATCATAACAACAGAACGTGCACCGGGCGTCCTCTGACGGTCCAGGATGCGCAACAGCTGATCCTGCTGGAGGTAGATCGTCCGGCGTTGTGTCCCATCTTGATGCGCCATCTTGATGATCCCCATCAAGTCTGAAGGTGACCGGAGCTTTTGAGGGTTGTCTAGCTTGTCCACGCATCTTTTCCCGGAACCCCTGATGCGGAAAGGCGGCTGTCTGATACGCAGGCCAGTAGCCAGGCGGGTCCGCTGGGTGCCCGTGCATTGCCCGGGGATTTGCCCCTCCCCTCTCCTCTCCGGCTTCGTTCAAGACAAATACGATGCGAAGAAATGCCTTGCAAAGAATCGTGTATTTGCTGGAATCCAGCGTACGTAGAAACGCGATACGAAGGAATGCAGGCGCGGGGGCACGTGGTAAGAAAAAGCGATACGAGAAATGGGTATGCAAACAGATGTGATCAAAGCAATGTAGCGTCCCAAATTCATTAACGAGCCATGGATGCGGGCGGCTTGAGTTGCCGTAAGAAGAAGCACAAATTGTCGGCCACTGCTCGCTGGTATTTTCTTTGGTCTAAACAAGTAGCAAAACGAATAAACACTGTGCGTCTGCAGATTCATCCGGCGTCCGCCCGATCTGGCATGCGCACTAGATTCTCCCTCACTTACAGCGCTGACATGTTGGACGCTCGGACCCCTGGCGCGTTTGTCAAGTTATATGCCGTCATTCACGGCAGAACTCTCGACAGGTGCATGCACCAAGACAGTTGTGCCTTAAAACATTGATGACAGACATGTGCAGCTGCATGACCTATAGCAGTCGATGCGCCCTACCCCCCCCCCCCCCCCCCCCCGATAGACATGTGCATATGATGGTATACCTGCTGTATGCACAGCATGGTATGCGTACAGGAGGTATACCATCACAGGTAGATGCTGACCACGTAGGTATGGTCAACACCTACCTGTTCTGTGCAGCGACGCTAAACGCGCCGCGGCCCTCAGCGGTCCCCAACATTTGTCCCCCATCAACAGGAATCGTTCTAGTTGTGTTCGTGCTGCCCACTTTCTGGCACGTCCAGGCATTTGGCAGCCTTCAGACGGTGGACTTCACAGCAGCCAATAACGTTGCGAGGAGGGTGGGTGTGTGACCCGCACTGCTTCATGCCATTGGCAGCCGAGCTACATTTATCCTTGGAATGTCAAGTTGTTTATTCGGACACACCCCCGAGACGGGTACTGGCCGTAAGGCGTCACGGAACGCGCGCATGGCCCACACTGCGCACGAGGGGGCACATGGTTTTAAACGTCTCTGATGGTAATGGATGCGAAATATGTTCAGGAGTGTATGCGGGCAGTTGCAATGATGTTTGAATTGCCGGGCCATAAATATCTGGAGAGGAAATTTTCAAGTAAGCCTATGTGAAAATCTGGCAGGAGGTAGCTTTTCATTGTTGCACGATCGCCGTTTCGTTCGCTTAGCAGCACAACTCTAAGTATCGTGGCATCGGCATCAATCCTTACTCTGCGGATTGGTGTTGTGATTTCAGTATGTTCATAGGAGATTCACAATTGATTTCAGTACATTCAGTGGCAGTGACTTGCTCCCCAATGGGAAATAGTTTGTTTTGCTAATTCACTTCATATACGATGACAAACTTTTTCTATAGACAATAACGCGAATTTGCATCGCTGCCCAACTTCTCGCAGGATATTTGGTTTGTGGCGCGTGAACCCGTGCAGTGTGGGGTTTAAATAAGAATGCGCAAAAATGCATTTTCTTCCTCGATGTGTCTTCAGAGCATAACCTTAACAGCGTGACCGATGAAGATAACATTTTAGCAGATGCGAGCTTGCATAATGCAAGTAAGGCATTCGTCGATAATAAAACGTCTGATTACTTATCACAGAGG